ACACACACACATACAAACATACACACACACATATACACACACACACACATTTACACACACAAACATACACACTCACACACATATACACACACATTTACACTCGCACACACACACACATTTACACACACACACATTTACACACACACGTACACACACACATTTACACACATACCTACACACACACACACATTTACACACATACAAACATACACACACACATATACACACACATATACACACACACACACACACACACACAGAAACACATACACGCACGCGGGAAAAATAACCGAGACGGCAGATTCTTGCTCTAAGTGTCGGGGGGGCGGCCGTGAACGAGGGATGATGATGATGCAACGGAGTGAAAGAGACGAAGGTAGAACAGCTCGTTACTCAGGTAACAGCTTTGTCCACCAGACTTCATGTGAAAAACACTCCTGTTTCTAAAGATGATTTGTGTCTCAACGCATCAGAACATTTGGTTTCTTGGACGGATCAGAAGATTCATCTGGAGATGCTTTCCATGAAGCCTCCAGAGCTCTGAGTGAGATCTTTGCTTTGTACCAAACACACATTTTAATGCATCAGAACCGCCTCCAGTAGAAAATATCAAAATGATTTGACTGCGCTTAAAACCTCCTCCTAATGTTTGACCTCAACATGTTGTATGTGATGCCTGAACACTAACTCCAAACCACAAGTCAAAGTGACTTTTTAACATTTGGACCAAACAAATAGAGAATGTGAGATGGAACCGTTGTCTAAATAAAGCTGTGGTTCCTCCATCTCATCCTGCGTGCAGCTTTCAAAAGGACGGTCGGATCTTTTTGATTTGAACCAAACACATATTTTAGGTTTTAAAGAAGGTTCAGGTTGATTTGTGTTGAGAGATTGACTGTGTGAACATTCATCTACTCATAGTTCACCAGTAAAGGGTTGAGAGACAGTGAGTAGTACTACTACTACTACTACTACTACTAGTAGTACTACTAGTAGTACTAGATAGTTCACCTGTGAGATGTTTACTGATTCTATTCATACCACAAAAACTGTTTGTTTCCAGTTCAAATATGTAAAAATGGACCATCTCTCTGCTGTAATTAATATTTCCTTTTGATCTTCAGAGCACACACACACACACACACACAGACACACAGACACACCTACTCCTCTCCACACAAACACATCACAGTATGAATGAGATGCTGCATGTTTATGTAATTATCTCCATATGAACTGATCCCACAGCTGTAAAGAAAGGAGCATGTTAAAGGTTCACAGAGGAACAGAAGGACAGAACTAAAGGAGAGGATCTAAGTGACCGAATGAAACCAAAGAAAAGAAGGGAGAGGGCACAGAAGCATCAGGGGTGGGGTAAAAGAAAGAAGTGTCCAAACGTTATATATACCTGTGTGCTCATATTTGTGTCTTAGGAGGGAACTGGTCTTCTGGAATGTTTTGTCGCACAAGTCACACGCGTACATACCACTTTCAGTCTTCTTCATCTTCTTCCTGGACAGAAGCGAGTCGCTGTCTGTCAGGTCGTCCAGGCCCGACAAATAGTCCGCCGTCCCGTCCGGCAGCTCCCCCTGAGGCACAGAGACAAGCTTCAGTACGTCTGGTAATCCCACACCTGCCGGCCGCAGAGACACCTTCTGGTCCAGAGACCCCCCCCCCCCCCACCACCACCACAGCCTCATGATCCCAAGTCTGGACAGAGCTTAAAGGCCCAACCTGGGTAAGTCCCCTTCATCCAGGGGACACTTAAAAAAACAGGACATATGGGACCAGGAGGGTTTGAATAAAGTGTTGGGATTGTTTTTACAGATAAAGACAGAACGTAATTCTTCATGAGAACAATTTGTGGCCATTTGTTGGAGAACCAAGAAGGAAGGAACTCTCATAACCAGAACTACAACATTAAACTACCTTGTTTACTTTAACAACACAATCTCTGACTGTATCAGAGACTCTAAAATCTACAATTCCTCGACAACTGGGCGACTCCATCTGAAACGATGTGATTCCGTCTAAAGCTACTGAACCTTTTCTAGTGTGGTGAGATTGTTTCACTAATGGGACCTGGTCGGACCCTGATCTAACCTGAACCTTTAACCAGAGAGGTCTTAAGATCAGGAAACACCCATAGAAGCTAACTTTGGACCGCTTTGACAAATGTCCTGTTTGGTCATTTAGCATCACGAACAATATATACATTTGTTCACTATCTTTACCTGGAAACCTGGTTTCCGTTGGTACTTCCTCTTCTGCTGCATTTCAGCAAAAGTGGCGGCCTCGTTGGCGTAGGTGTAGGCCATGTGGAAGCTCATGGGGTCGAGCCCTGGGTAGGGCCTGAGGCCCGGGATGGTGGCCTGTCCAGGAGACATGAAGGTGGGTGGAGGAAACGCTCCGTGAGGCGGCAGAGAGGTGTAGACGGGACCAAAGGGATTAATTCCAAAGATGGGACTGGTGCT